TCCGAAAAAAGAAATAAAAAAGAATAAAGAATTTAATTACTGTCACACAATTACGTTAAAACGCATTTTCAAAATGAAAACCGTCATATAATAAAATGAAACAAACAAAATGATTGACGTCCGATTACTCCTCTTTCTACTCCCTACGCCCCCGCCCCCCGATACGTATGCATTCCTCTCTGTTTGTGTTTTCCTTTTTCTATTAATAACAAACAAAGGGCAACGAATGTGCAACGCAGGAAGAAAAACCGACGGGAAAAAGGGGAGTGAGAAAAACACGAAAAAAAAAAAGAGGGAAATTTTTTCACGATGGTATATTATTATTATCTCTTTAATACGAATAGTCATAGAGTAGATAAACGTAGTAGATGTTGTTGTCGTTGTTTTTGATAAATAAAAAAAAATAATAATAATAATAAGTTAATAGCATTATATAGGAAAAATCTATCGAAAATATGATAAAAATTTGTCCATTTTGTTATAAACAATTAATATTTACTTGACATAACGTAAAAAAAAAAAATATATGATTTTACATAAGGTAAACATCAAAAAAATTAATAATATTAATAATAATAATAATAAAAATATTAAATTTTCAGATTATAAGCGGAAACACGGATACGGAAACTGTGGTCAGCCATCGTTTAATGCCAACGGTCTACGCCACAAGAATTCGAATTCTTCCATATAGCGTTCACCGTCGAACTGTTTGCTTAAGGGTTGAAATAAAAGGTTGCCAAACAGGGGGTGAGTCAGTTTTTCGTTTTTTTTTTTTTTCTTTTCTCTCTTTCTTTTCCTTTCTCTTTTTCTTTAAATTTCACTCACTCTCTCTCTCTTTTTTTTTGCTTTTATTCATTCTATTTTCTTTTTTTTTTTATTATTTTGCGTAAATTTTTCTGTTTGTGAGTAATAAAATTTTCCACGTGATGAATTTCTAATGGTAAAAAAAAAAAAGAAAAAAAGAGAGAGAGAAAAAAGAAATGGAAAAAATAAATAAATAAAAAATTTAACAACAACGAGGAAAAAAGAAAAATCAAAAAAGAAAATCAAAGTTAAAACGCAAAATTCTCTTGTCCGCCATATTTGTTTTCGAAATTATTGTGACGATTATTTTTTTATACGAAACAAATATTCTTAGGTGTGACATGAATGAATGAATGATAAATAATTTTAATTTTTAATTATCTATTTATTCACGTGATGATCCTTTTGAGTCACGGAAAGGTTTAGGTCAAAGGTCATATTCGTTTCTTTTTCCTTTTTTTTTTGTGTAAAATTATCACGTCTTGATAAAAAATAAATAATTACTTTTAATAGTTTTTTTTTTTTTTTTTTGCATTTTTATGGAGTCGCAATGAGTTTGTTGTTGTTTTTGTTGTTGTTGTTGGGAATGATAATGATGATGATGGTAACAGCAATAAAAATAAAAATAATTAAAAAAATAAAAACAAAGAAGAGCCACCGAATTTAATAATAATTCAAAAAGATTTTATAAATATATATATGTATACAGTTTATTTATAATGAAAGTTTTATCTTGTGCAATTTTGGGGTTTTCCATTTCCATGAACAATTTTCTAAAATTTTCTTCTAAAATTAAAAGGAGATAAATTCACCGACTAAAAAACCTTTAAACCATTGAAAACTTTAAATTATAGTTTTTAAGCGACGGCAGCGGCGGCGGCGGTAGTGGCAACAACACAACAGCAACATCCACACATAATAAAACACGAGGGGGAGGGAAAAAGGGGAGGGAAAAAAAAAAAAAAAGTTTTCGAGAAAAATTCATAGTAAAACAAAATAAAATATGTTTATAGTCTCTAAAAATTATAGAATTTATTATAGTTTACGACAAACGCGATGACAAAAAATAAAAAAAAAACGAATTTTTTTTCGACTTTAAAACCAAAATTATCATTATCATTATCATTATTATTATTATATTTTTTTCTCATATTAATTAATTTTCCCTTTCATCTTTCCGTAATTATTATTAACGATTTATTTTTAACCTTTCAACCCTTTCACACCGTTTTCTCACCCTTTCTTCTTCATTTACCATTAATATTCTTTTTCTTTTCCACCCTTAATTAAAAAAAAAAAAAAAAAAAAAAAAAATTCGGTAATTAAATTAAAATTTCTTTTTTTTTTTTTTTTTTTTTTTGAAATCCCCCCCCCCATTTTAAAACGGGACTCTGACACGTAATTCTTTATTTAAAAATTATTATTATTATTATTATTATTTAGATATTTTTCATTTCTTTCCCGTTTTATAATTTTTAAATTTTCATTATCATCATCATCATCATATTATATATATTATTATATTATTATTATTATTATTATTAATTATTATTATTATTATTATTATTATTATTAATTATTATTATTATTATTATTATTATTATTATTTTCACTTATAATCACGACAATTTGTCTTTTTCGGACTTTTTCAATTACATTCATTCCCAAGGACTAAATGGCTAAACGACCGTGATTTTGCATGTTTGAACACGTTTCGTAATCGTAACCCTTGTTTCGTCATTATAACTGACGTCACATCTGTTCTCGTAAGTCTCGTAAGTCCATCTTATTTGATACAAGAAACAAGTTACCGCTTGAACCGGGCTCCGATTAATATACGTCTGTCGAGTAATCAGAATCAAAAGTAGTGAAAATCACAAATTCCCGTTTTAGTTATTCTCAGTGCGACAAAAGAAAAAAATTACTTTTGGTTTTGTATTTACTTGTTCCCATTTTGCTCTATTACAATTATGAATCAATCATTATTATCTTTAGAGACATGAATTTTTTTAATAAACCTAGTAAAAGAATATTACTTTTTCCTTAAAACTATTTCAATACTTAATTTTCCTACTATTTCCCCCTTTTCATAATTTTCCCTCATGCATTTCATCCTTAATATACACAATATACAAATTACAATTTTGTACCCATATAAACTTAAGTAATCTGAATGCAGTTCAGATTTTTTCTAATCATAATTTAAATTTTACACTAACACATGGCAAAATATGTTATAATGAAACAGGCACATAAAATAAGAAAATGGAGTAAAATAATCAATGCAATAATCAATGGATTCACACTTAATTAATAACAATTAATTAATAACAAGCATTTTTAATAAACCACCTTCATTTTTATTTAATTGTAATCATAGTTTTACTTATAATCAGGTCCTTATGACCTCATTTCATATACTTTATATATCAGGACCTTATAGAGATGTACAATTAGTAAATGGAGTCCATTGTGCCTTTTCATAATTCCTTACACTAAAATCAATTAACATAAGGGGTACCCAATTTCTCCTGATTTTGATTCAGATTTATAGAGAGTATTACACTATATCTATGATAAACTATGTTGTAATGAGATCCAATTAACTCAAGAAAATGCTTAAACAACAACCAACAATTTGTAAATTAACCCTTAAAAATTAGAGTATAGAAATTTGTACACTTAGTTAATATATATCAAATCAATCATTACTTAATAAATATTATGATTAAATTACTCCAACATATTGTTTTGCATAATCAGAAATGAAAAAGATATTTAATCAAACTACATAAAATTTACCAAACAAATGTAAAATTTTTAAACTGTTTTCACGACATTTGGCTCCATTTCTTTGTTAGCCTAACCTTTTTGCAAGTGAAAATTAAAGACTTAAAAAAAATAAGAGACTTACCAGTAATAATCAAACGTACTAAGGCGTCTTTAACGATTTTTGTTTTTCGCCCACGTTTTCTTTTGTCACACGAAACCAAGCGTCGACTATTTTTAACTCGAAATAACATGGTTATCACTAAAAAAAATAAAAAACTAATTACATCACGATAAAGTATATTCAATTACAAAACTTTTGATATATAATTAATAACTAAATTTTTAAATAAAACTATTAAAATTAATTTAAATAAGCTGACATGATGTAACCGCGTGTCAAACGTCGCACACCCGCGCGCCCTCTTCCTCTCATTATTATTACTAATATTATTTATTATATTTTCATTTAATTTAATTTTTTTTTTTTTTTTTTTTTTTTAAACTATTTTATCGAAAATAGTTTAAATGGAAATTTTTAATTTTTCTTATTCGTGTTTATTTATTATTATTACGTTTGTAAATTACGTTATTATATTTACAATAATAATAATAATAATAATAATAATAATAATAATAATAATAATAATAATAAATAATAATACAATAATAATAACAATAATACAATAATACTAATAAATAAATAAGGTAAATTTTTACGCGACCCGAATCACGATGAAAAATCCAATTATTATTATTATTATTATTATTATTATTATTATTATTATTATTATTATTATTATTATTTCTACGCGTGATGAAACAATAATAATAATAAAATCATAACGATTCATTTTTTTTGTTTTATAGTATACAATTTTCATTTTGTCTTATTCATGTTTGGTATATATAAAATTATAAACGCATAAATGTTTTTGAAACAACATTCGCACGCGTAAATAAATAAAATCCAATAAAGATTCACGTAATAAAAAAAAAAAAAAAAAAATAATAATAATAATAATAATAATAATAATAATAATAATAATAATAATGAATTATTATTTTAGTAAAATTCGCGTCGTTGTAACGACGTTATTTTCATTCTAAGTAGTACAAAAAAAAAAGTTATTAAAATCAAATTAAATTCGTTATAAAACGTAGAAAAGTCTATTTTCCTTATAGTATAGTATGGAATGAAGAAAAGAAATTTAAAGATGTTTAACAGAGAATAAAATATAATGATTTAATCAATATTCATGGAACGCACGCACACGTATACGCACACGCACGAACGCACGTACACACACACAGGCACAAAGCGATTCATCATGCATGCATGACATGTTCAAATCTCAAAAGTGTTAATTTCTCATTTAAAATTTTTTAATAATAATAAAAAAAAGGCTTACTTTCTTATAAGGTTTTCGTTAAATACAAAAAAGGATTTTCCATATAATTATATATTGTTATAAATTTAATTATTAAAAATTTTTTAATTAAATATTCATTCATTCATTCTCTCTCTCGCTCGCTCGCTCGTTCGTATCATCAGTCTATCTTTCTCTCTCTCTCTCTCTCCCCCCCCCGCTCGTTATCCGTCATTCAATCAATTCTTTATTTGAAACGATAATGATAATTTTCCGTGAAAAAAACCTTGAAAAATTACATATTTTTACATTATTATTATTATTATTATTATTACTATTTTTATTATTAAAGTCTATCAATCAGTCAAAATAAAAAAATAAAAACTCGTTTTATTATTAACCACGAATAAAAGTAATTTAAAAAATAAAAAGATTCACAAATGCGAGTTTCGTATTATTATTATTATTGCTATTATTATTATTATTATTATTACTATTATTATTATTTTCTTTATTTTTAATATACATTTTTTTTTTTTTCCCCATTGTGATTATGAGAATTGTCACAACACGCGACGTTACGCGCCGCCATTTTTCCTTTTTTTTTCTATTTTTACCCTTCATATTTTTCTTTTTTTTCATTTTAATAATATGTATATATATTTTATTATTATTATTATTATTATTATTATTATTATTATTATTATTATTATTATTATTATTATTATTATTATTATTATTATTATTATTATTATGTATTTGTGGTGCCATCCGGGTTAACGTTCCAAAATTAGTTTTCCCAAA